TCCATCTGGCCAGCCGCCCCGACAAGTCTTTCTGATACATCAGCCATTTTAGACTGGCATGGTCGGTGATTATAGTGAACGGCAGTCCTTCGATGTACGGTCTAAATCGCTTAACACTTAAGACTGCGGCATAGCATTCCAACTCCGTTATACTGTAATTTTTCTGCGCTTTGTTCAACTTCGCCGACATGAATGCAATCGGCCTTTCGTTCTCGTCATCGTCTAATTGGAACAAAACTCCACCTACACCGTCTGTTGATGCGTCGCACTGAATGAAAAATCGTCGGTTAAAGTCCGGGTGAGTCAGTACTGGTGCAGTGATCAAGCTTTGCTTCAACCGCTGAAACGCAACCTTGGCTTCGTCAGTCATAGTGAATTTTTTTATCCGGTCCTTGGTGAGACAGTCGTGTAATGGTGCGGCTATAGTTGCGTACTCGTGAATAAAACGTCGGTACCACCCTGTCATCCCTAGGAACCGCCGAAGCTGTTTCGGACTTCGAGGCTCAGGGAAGTCTATTACTGCTGCTACTTTGTTTGCATCAGTTCGTATGCAACCATCGCCTACCACGTACCCGAGATACCTTACTTCCCGATAACAAAACTTACTTTTCTCAACATTGATTGTGAGCTTGGCTTCACGTAAACACCTAGCGACCTTTTCCAACAAACACAAATGAGACGAAAAACTTTCGGAACAAACTAACAAATCGTCTAAATACACAAACACACACTCACGTAAAGCAGCCGGTATGACTTTGTCCATTAATCTACACATACGCTGAGCCGCGTTACACAAACCAAAAGGCATAACTGTGAAATGATACAGGGGCCTACCAGGAACTGTGAAGGCTGTCTTTTCCCTAGACTTCTTCTCTAATGGAATCTGCCAAAACGCATCTTTTAAATCTATAGCCGATATAAAGCGTGTGTTCTGTAGTCGGCTGAGGATTCCTTCCACGTGCGGTAGTGGATATGCGTCCTTAATTGTCCTTTCGTTTACTTTCCTAGCATCTAAACATAATCTATTCTTAGTGCCTTTTATTACCAGAGAGACGGGGGAACTCCAACTAAGGTTACTTTCTTCTATGACCCCCATACTCAACATTCTATCTAGCTCCTGATACACTAGCTTTTGGATCGGTGGTGATATAGGGTAGTGCCGCTGTTTGACCGGAAGATTTTCATTCGTCACTTCGATGACGTGCTCTTCTTGGTCTGTTTTTCCAAGCCCTAGTACGGCGAACGATGGGAACTGCGCTTTTATCTTTTCCAATGCTACGCTCTCCTCATGCGTTAAATCATGCTGCACCGCGTCAAATGACAAGTCCCCCTCGGCGGGTGCGAGCTCTGCAACGACCGCGCTCTTTGCTTTACCACCCCTACTGACAACCTCCAAATCGAAAGCTCTCCAAAAGTCGATTCCTAGGTAAACCTCCTGCTGCAAATCGGGCACGATCAAAAACTCGAGATCTCTCGAGACCCCATCCCATAACACCGGCAAAACAATCGCACCTAGCACTGGCGTTTCGCCACCATTGGCGGTTCGAATATTTTGTCCCTTAATTTTGAGAATTCCATCCTCTCTTCCTTCCAAAAAATTTAGGGAGTTTTTACCTAGACAACTCGCGCCAGCACCAGAATCCAACAGGGCTAACATCTCCTTGCCACCTATATTGGTTTGCGCAAAAAAACGATTGTCACCCTTCACAGTGACTATTGTTGCTATAATCTTATTCTTAATCCTTTTATAATTCCTCCGCTTTGCCCTCATTTTTTCAATTTTCTTAAAATTCCTACTTTTCTTATTCTTGACTAATTCTTCTGCAAAAATCCTTCTTCTTGCTTCTTCATATTCTAATTTCCTTTGATGTAAACTCTTTCCTATAACTACTTCTCTATCCTCTAACTTACTTCTAATATTACCATCACCACTGCTAACACTATTATCCCTACTTAATATTTTGACGGCTGATTTTATTTCTCCGGGCGATTCGCTTCCTGGCAAGAATTCCCGGAAATTTCCGCCAGTTTCAAGTTTCCCTGGTTCGGCTTGTAGACACAGAATGACATGTCACCCCCGCACGCGAAACAGACCATGCTGTGAAACGTAGAGTTGCAGTTGTTGGTCACCTCAGGATTCTTTGTGTAGTAGTCGACCGGCATGCCACACTTGAAACAGATCATCAGGTGAAAGGGCGACGAACAGAAGCTGTGACCTGGAGCTGCCTGCACACCGGAAGAACTGCTGCTGGGAACTGGCTGAGGTCGACTTGGTTGCATCCGGTTGATTTTCGAAGTTCCCTGACCGCCTTGTACACCCGTCTTACTGCGCTCGAAGCTATTTGCGTTGATTGCTTCTACCTCCACTCGCTCGTCATCACACACATGCTGTAACTCGTTAACGCCTCTGGACCTTGTTCGACTTTCGCGGAACAGTCTCTCAGCTCTCTTGCACTCGGATTTCAGATCCGCCAAGGTGTCCATTTTCGAGGAGAAAGTCAGGCTTGCCAGGTATGGCTTTAAATTGGCCTTGAGGATGCCCACTAGTTCCTTTTCAGGTATTTTCTGGCGCAAGCGGAACGTCAAGTTGTGGACATCACTGTAGAAGTCGTCGAATGTCTCATGTGGCATTTGCTTGCGCTCCAGGATCTCCCGTATTATTTCGTAGTCCGACTCTGCAGTTTCAGCTCGAAGTAGCCAAAATTCTGGTCCTCAGCGTGGTCTTCGACAATTTGCCAATACCATTTAAGTGCATTGCCCGTGACCAAGCAATGGAAATCGGAAAACAGCTGTTCATACGGGACATCATTTTGCGCTCGCATCCTTTCAACTCTGAAAATAAAACTTTCTACAGTGATGTTCTTCCCGGTACCATCAAACTTGACGTGCCACTTGTGGGGCACCGAAATTGCGCATATGGAAACTGTGCATTTAGACATTATTTCGGTTTCAACCGAAACTGTGCATGTATGCTTTATTTCGGTTTTTACCATATGCATTATTTCGGTTTTAAAACGAAAGTGTGCATGTATGCATAATTTCGGTATTTTCTCATATGCATTATTTCGGTTTTCAACCGAAACTGTGCATGTATGCATTACTTCG